AGGTGGGAGGCCATCGCTATTAGGTTGGAGGCAATCGCTACTAGGTGGGAGGCCATGGCTACTAGGTGGGAGGCCATCACTATTAGGTTGGAGGCAATCGCTACTAGGTGGGAGGCCATGGCTCCTATAGGTGGGAGGCCATGGCTACTAGGTGGGAGGACATCGCTATTACGTGGGAGGCCATCGCTATTACGTGGGAGGCCATCGCTGCTAGGTGGGAGACCATCGCTACTAGGTGGGAGGCCATGGCTACTAGGTGGGAGGCCATCGCTATTAGGTTGGAGGCAATCGCTACTAGGTGGGAGGCCATGGCGACTAGGTGGGAGGCCATGGCTACTAGGTGGGAGGCCATCGCTATTAGGTTGGAGGCAATCGCTACTAGGTGGGAGGCCAGGGCTACTAGGTGGGAGACCATCGCTACTAGGTGCGAGGCCATCGCTATTGGGTTGGAGGCAATCGCTACTAGGTGGGAGGTCATCGCTATTAGGTTGGAGGCAATCGCTACTAGGTGGGAGGCCATGGCTACTAGGTGGGAGGCCATGGCTACTAGGTGGGAGGCCATCGCTATTAGGTTGGAGGCAATCGCTACTAGGTGGGAGGCCATCGCTACTAGGTGGGAGGCCATGGCTACTAGGTGGGAGGCCATCGCTACTAGGTGGGAGACCATCGCTACTAGGTTAGGTGGGAGGCCATCGCTGTTAGGTTGGAGGCAATCGCTACTAGGTGGGAGGCCATGGCTACTAGGTGGGAGACCATCGCTACTAGGTGGGAGGCCATCGCTATTAGGTTGGAGGCAATCACTACTAGGTGGGAGGCCATCGCTACTAGGTGGGAGTTTTATGCTTTTTTGTTCGTGAAAGACGTGGAAACATCTGTCCTTCAGGTCACCGGCCAAAAAATGCCACATGGCCGACATACCTTCCCAGGCTCCAGAACAGACTTTCCACTTTCCAAGCAAAGAGATCCTCCATTTTGGAACTACTTGGAGAAATTAATTGCAAATTCTGTATATGGATGTTGCTTTGCGTACAGGTTCCTGGACATTCCTAGAACCCCTTCCATGTTCGGCATTCATTACCTCCCTCGGCGCACTGCAAGATTGTTCCTGAGGCCAACTCCAGTTTCTTCCGTGTTGCGCCCTGGGCAATCTTTCAGCAACCCAGGTGCAAAGTGAACACTGAAAGGCTTTGACTCAAACCAGTGTCTACATGTGTCCACATCGACCTCCTTCCCCAACGCGTAGCTCAGCTCATCATCCTGTCAACACGCGGCAAACGCAAAGTGCAAACTTGTAGTGACTCATCTCCAAAGACTTGCAACAAGTCCGTTTCCGTGTAAGAAAATTTGCAGTTCCACTGTGCAACACTTTATCTAGAACTGTTTCTCTCCACGATGCCTTCAAGATGAACCTGTCCGTGGCAAAGCCCTTATCCTCGGGCCAACATTCATGGATGGAATCCTGATGAATCTGACACGTGCGTCATCTTGAGGTCAATACAGAGCTGAACTTCTCACGGACCCCGCGAGTGAACGCACCCGGACTCTTGGTCTCCACAGCGCTCATGATCTGTCCGTCACGGTGGGTGAAACAGGAAGGATTCTTTTTAAAGCCCGCTCTTAGGTTGGAGGCTATTGCTAGGAGCAAGGACGCTACTAGGGGCTCCGACTCCTGTCCTTACTACTGGGAGCAAGAAGCTACTAGGGACAAAGGGCATCGCTGCTAGGAGCAAGGACGCTACTAGGTGGGAGGCCATTGCCACTAGGTTACTAGGTGGGAGGCCATCCTTGAATAATGACAAGCAGGAAACATCCTGTGAACACCAGGAACAACATTGGCATTGATGAGCAAGGTTGGACAAAGACAAAGTATTAAACCGAGTATAAAACTCTCTCTTGCAAACAATGTTCTACCTAGAAAACCCAACAACGCCGGAGGAAAACCCGAGTTCAAACAATCAAGCACTAGAAAACCAACGTTGTCATCCAGTAAACGCAGTAAACGCAAAATGAGGCCTTGGGTCTGTGTTGTGCACACATATTTGAATAATTAGAGTGCTCGCTGTGGGACCCTGAATACATAGAGCCAACAACATAGGTAATTAGATTATGAATTTGTCGGATGAAAAGGAGAAGTGATAAGAGGTGATAACATGTGATAAGTGATACTGGGTAAAGAAAATACAAACGGATGCGGTAGATGAAAGAGGTGGTTGATGCCATCTTCACGGCGTCAACGAGGAGCAACGGGCGGAGCTTGCAGGAATGATAGAGCAAGACTGAAGAATTAGAGGAATGCCATAACTTCTTTTAAACGACAAGAACGCTCCAACTTCTTTCTCTTCTTTCTTTCTGTAGACCTTTAGAGATCGTTCCAACAAGAACGTCACAGATGTCATGGTCGGCCTTCAGCTCTGCCCCACGCCGGGAGCGTTTATCGCCGAAGATTGCCAACTGCTCTGAGCCGCCCCGGGCGCTCCGGTCCCGGCCCTGACCGAGTGCAATTCCAACTCACAAGCACTCAAGCCGTGTAAGCCAGAGAAAAGAAAGGTCGCTAGTAGGCCATCGCTAGTAGCCACTCATCCCTTTTGAGGCCACGCCTTTCCACCGCCATTCATCGCCTCTTTGTTCATGAAGAACATCAGCGTGCCCCACTCCTCACTGTCAGTGCCACGAGTGTCACGCGCATCCCTTTGTCTAAAAGGCAAAATATCAACTTGTAAAGGCAAGACACATAGACTGAACTCAATAGACTTGCAATTGTTGCTTTCTCCTCTTCCATATTTCCCAATGCAGCCCGACGGGCACCTGTCACATAGCCAATGCATTCACTTGGAACCTTAGTAGGCATGAGTCCTTTCCACAACCCAAAAGACCAAGAACTCAAGCGCCAACCAACAACTCAAGTTCTCAGAGCACTCCTTGCTCCTAGCAGCGATGCCCATTGTTCCTAGTAGCTTCTTGCTCCTAGTAGTAAGGCCAGGAGCCCCTAGTAGCGTCCTTGCTCCTAGTAACAAAACTTTAAACAAAAACGAACATGTTTCAATTTCTGAAAGTTCCGCATGTTCCGTTGTCCCACCGTCCAAGTGCGACTTGGTCACGTCCACCACCGTACAGTCGTCACGATCTTCCCAGCCGTTGACATAGACCTGAGGGCTGGGGTTAACTTACCTTGTAATTAAATGGTCTTGCTTTTTGGCTTTCTTCAGATTCTGACAGGCCCTTCCAATTGGTCAAACAACCACTTCATGTACTCCTGGAGAGGAACAAGCAAACGAGAACACATTGATCAGCGACACAGAAGCATTGGGAATTCAGCAATCACTAGGAATGTTCAAGTCCTTGGCTTTGCGACGCAATCCCTTCTCGCCGGAGAAAAGGGCCACCTTCACAAGACCGTTTCCATGCTGATAACGCTCAAAACCCCCGTCATGAGGTTCCCGCTTCGAAACTTATAGAGTTAGATCTCAAAACACTCTTCCGCTTGAGGGTCTCGGCTTTCCTTCTTATTGCAACAGCAATTGGATTGGCCGTTCGGGTTGGCTTCAAGGCTGGGACATCTACGGCGCCTGACCAACATACTGAACGACAGCGCCAGATGCTCTCTCCAGTTTTTTCCTGGAGTCAGGCGCCATGTCGAAAATGACGTGTCTCGGATTTGGAGTCAGTTGGAGCCTTCTAGATAACTTCAAATTGCCAAAACTGCAGCACCAGTGATCCACCCTTTGTGGACCTTTCCGGCCTGGTTCCGCCCTGTTTGCCAAGAGCATAGGAGAGCTCGTCATCTTGGAAGGTCATGGTGTCTGTACCCCACGTGCCATCCTGCGGGTTCAAACACGGATTCCAAGGCAAATCAAACGACTATAGTGCAGCCGTGAGAAAACAAATACTAGTAGTAACAAGAAGCTAGTAGAAACAAGTGCATCGCTAGTAGTAACAGGTGCCTTACTAGTAGTAACAAGAACGCTACTACTGCTGTGCCCCGTCCTCCCCCTTCCCTTTGTCACGATCAATCACCTTGCAACATGACTGTCTATCAGCTGTTTTCAACCGCTTTGCCCAATCTTTTTTTTTTCTGTGAAAGAACCTGTGAAAAGAATAAAACACAAGCCAGGACCCGCCAACAGCATCAACAAATTGTCCATTTCTCGGTCTCGCTATAACAAGCACCCCTTTTTGGCTATCAGACCATCAAAAACAAAAGGCACCCGTGAGGATGGCTTCCATATGTTCTCTAGCTCTCCATCTCTATCTCTCTGCCTCTCTCTGCGCTTTCAACCAACCACCCGCCACTCGTCCCACCAGCCATCCATTGACCTATCTACACTATACACAAATCCATCTATCCATATCTACTTATCAAGTTTTTACATCTAGCATCATCTACGTGTTTACTTAACAATCTCTCTATCTTTATGTGGCTCTCTCTCTCTCTCTCTATGTCTCTATCTCTCTATCTGTTCAGCTTCTCTGTGTCTCACCGTCTCTCTGACACTCCATCCCCTTCTCATCCATCCATCCATCCATTTATCCATTGAAATATCAACTCTCTCCACACACTCATGTGTCCACATCTACTTATCCGCGCTTACATCCGCCACATCTACTCTCTCCGTCTCTCCGTCTCGCTTTCTCTCTCTGTCTCTGTCTGTCTCTCTCTCTCTCTCTGACACTCTCTCCCCTTCTTTCCACCCATCCATCCATCCACCCATTCATCCAGTTAGCTAGCCATCCATGGACCTACCTACAAGCGCTGCTCATTGCATTCTGTGCATTTGAAACACTCCAGGCGGTCGCCAAATTTCATGTTCGTTCTCTAGTTCTCCGTCTCTCGATCTCGCTGTGGCAGGCGCCCTATCTCTCTACCTCTTCCTCCACTTCTATCGAGCCGTCCGTCCGCCCACCCATTCACCCGACTAGCCATCTAGTGACCTGTCTGCACTCTACCCACATCCATCACATCTTTATACATCGATCATCTGCCACATCTTCTTAAAAATTTATCCATCTCTCTGTGGATCGATCTCCCTATCTCTTCAGCTGGCCTCTCTGTCTCGCTATCTCTCTGACACTCTCTTTCTTCTATCCATCCATCCATTCGTCCGAATAGCCATCCACTGACCTATATAGATACACTTTACATGCATCCATCAATCTTTTTACATCTAGCCACATCTACTCAAACATTTGTCTATCTCTCTATGCCTCTATCTCTCTACCTCTTCAGCTGATCTCTGTACTCTCGCACCTTCTATCCCTCTACCCACCCATCCATCTAGCTAGCCATCCATTATTGACCTGCCTTCAGACTTCAGCCGCACTCAAAATACAAATCTGCAAGCGCACAAACCTGCGCATCCTCGACTTCACCAAGACCTCCGAACCGACACATTTTAACACTCTCCGCCACCCGTTTCCACCCATGCCGTACACAAGAACTGAACTTCTGCACCTAACAAGTGCCTTACTAGTAGTAACAAGTGCATCGCTTCTAGTAACAAGTGCCTTACTAGTAGTAACAAGAAGCTACTAGTCTAGGATACCCTTCACTTCGTTCGCTACACAACTTCTACCTAGCCTATCCTATCGGCTGGCTTTCGTGATCTATGTATCTATCTTCGTGGTCTAACTGTCTGTCTATCTGATATCTATGTCCCTGCCTTTCTATCTTTGTCGCTCTCCATCCATCCACATCTACCCATCGGCCTACCCTCTCTTCTACTAGCCATCCGTTGACCTATCTATATTATATACACTCTACACATATTTATCCATCCACGTCTGCAGGTCATATTCTTACATCTAGCCACGTCTACCTGGACCTCTTACTCTGACATTCCCTTCTCTTCTATCCATCCTTCCATCCACGCACCTTAACAGTCGAGGGACGCTTTACCTTTCTCACCTCTAGCCACACCTCACAAAACAAACTCTTTAGTTCACTAGAAACAAGTGCCTTACTAGTAGCAAGAAACTAGTAGCGATGCACTTAGGTTGACTATGTTTCTATTTTTTATTGCATATTTCTCTGTCTCGCTATATCTCTCTCTGACACTCTCTCCCCTTCTATCCATTCATCCATCCATTGACCTACCTACAAATGACTCACTAGCCATAAGTCGACCTACCTACAAGTGACCCAGAATGCCAATGATGCTAACCATCAAACCTGGCTGTGCTGTTTAGCGTAGTTGCCGGGGTTACTGGGTTAATCCGAGGCATCTGCGCGGTAAAAACGGTAAACATCGAACATTTTATGTTTTTACCGTTTTTACCGGGGGGCGCTTCCTTTTTCAATACCATATCCGCGATCAAAACGGTACAATTAATTGTTGTTCTTTTTGTACCGTTTTGATCGAGGGGGGCAAACGGGTCTATGTTTTTTTCAGTTTTTAACGGAGGGTCACCGCTGTTTCTTCTGCCATATGCGCGGTAGGTAAAAATCGAAAGTTTTCGATCCAAGTGATGTAGGCTTTCATTGCCCTGCAAAAGTTAAAAGTCATGAAATTTTGATCAATCACCAAACTCCTCTTGTCGAAAAGGGCACACGCTCCTATATGATAGGAGGAGTGAACCCCACCTGGTTATAGGAAGATACCCGGGCTGTAACATTAAACCTTTTTGTTGACAGAGGTCTTCTAGCTTGCGACCTGGTCCCGAGGCATTCTCGCGGTAAAAAAACGGTCCAAAGTGAAAATTACTACGTTTGTTGTTTACCTTTTTTAATGAAGAGTCGCTTGCTCTTTTTGCTTCTACCATATCGTTAAAAATCAAAGTTGTGTTATTCTCCGTTTTTGTAGGTGGACTTGTCCTTTTCTTTTCTACCATCTCCGTGGCAAAAACGGCAAGAATCTTTGTTTTTTATCTTTTATACTGCGGGGCGCTCCATGTTTAAATGTCATATCCGCGGTAAAAAGGGTAAACATCGAAAAACATGTTTGTGTTTACCGTTTTTACCGGGGGGGGCGCTCCTTTTTCTTCTACCATATCCGCGGTAAAAACGATAAACATCGTTTTCTTTTTCCCGTTTTTACCGGGGGCACGCTCCTTTTTATTCTACCATATCCGCGGTAAAAACGGTAAAAATCGAAACATTTTCCTTTTTTTTACCGTTTTTACCGGGGGCGCGCTCTTTTTTTTTCTGCCATATCCGCGGTAAAAACGGTAAAAATCGATTGTTTCTTTTTACCGTTTTTACCGGGGGCGCGCTCCTTTTTCTTCTACCATATCCGCGATAAAAACGGTAAAAATCAAAAATTTTCATTTTTTACCGTTTTTACCGGGGCGTAAAAACGGTAAACATCGAACATTTTCTATTTTTACCGTTTTTACCGGGGGCGCGCTCCTTTTTATTCTACCATATCCGCGGTAAAAACGGTTCAAATCGTGTTTTTTTTTTAACCTTTTTCCTGCGGGGTCGCGAAAGGATACCCCTTAGCAAAACAACGCTCGCGAACCAGCTTAGAAACCTGGAAATCATCGACATCACCCAAACACCAACATCGGCGCATCGCCGGCATCACCAAGATCTCAAAATCGTAACTTTTTCACACTCCCCGCCACGCCTCTATGCTACTCCAAAAGGTGCCTCCCCCCCACACCCCCCTGACTGCGTTTGCCAAACAACTCGCCTCTAGCCTATGGGCTGCCTTTCATGACATACTTTTTCAGAAGTTTGATGGTCTTGTGGTGGCTTTGACAGTCCGAGCTAGCGCTGGGCGCCTCGTATTTGATCTTTTCGAAGTAGCCGGGCACCTTTGTCGTTCTTCGATTGCAGCAAGACAGCCATGTCATGTGCTCCCACTGTATCTTCTTTTCTCAGTTTATTTGGACGGTTGCAGTGCGATGGGCGCACCGTGAAAACTGACCGCGCAGGTCTCATCATGTAGGATTGAAACAGAGGTTGTGTGCCCCGCAAAACGAACAGGCGTACCTTTTGTCTGACCAGCTTTCACTAACCAGCACTCATCAAAAAAACGAACACTTGAGGAAGCACACAAACACAAGGTGAGCCCGCGGACCCAAAAGCAAAAAGAAACGCGCAACCGGTCTTTTAGCTTCCGCTACCCACGGCAAAGCACCCTCAAGCACACTGAAGACAAGACGGTTCCCTTTTTAGTCGGGTTGGAGGTTGGATGTATTATATGTATATATATATATGTATATATATATATACATATATATTATATATATATATATATCACGTGGCTGTTTTCAATCTCTGCAGCTAGTCTCCAACCCCATTGCAACATAGCTTCTGACAACCGTTCCAGGAAGCATGGAGCAGCATCAGCCCCCTCCATGCTCCGTTCCAGCCATCAAATTTCAAGCACTGCGGTTCTGGCATGCAACAATCCTGCCGTTTTGGCCATGACTTGACTGTCTGGCGCATGCATTGCAATCCATGCGCAGCGCCGTCCACACCCATGCACCTCCCGTCTCGCGCCCCTCCCTGCTCTGTCCACACCCACGCACCTCCCGTCTCGCGCCTCTCCCTGCTCCGTCCACACCCACGCACCTCCCGTCTCGCGTCCCTCTCTCTTCCTTCCACAGCTCCTCCCGTCTGGCACCCCGCCCTCTTCCTTCCACAGCTCGGTCCACACCCACCTATAATTGGAATGCCTTTAAATCATTGAGTTAGACTACAACAAACACATAAAAGAAATGTATGAGATGATTGAACGTGGGTTAAGAGGAGGAATGACACAGTGCTCCTTGAAGAAAGTAGAAGCAAACAAACAATACATGAATGAAGATTACTATAAATCTAAACCTTCATCATACACAAGTTATACCATACGAGAAGCAAATTCCAGCGTGCCCGAAAAACAGTAAACACTGTAATGTCCAAAGTTTGCAGCTGGCAGCGGAGACAATCTAACATGGAAAGAAAGGACGACACAGGCAGAAATACAAAACGCGTGAAAAACAAATCCAACTTGTGTGGTTATAAAATCCACACAGTTTGGAAATGATATCATGTAACCCATGCAGTCTGGAAATTAAATCCACCGGTTTAGGAGATTGCATCCAAAGGCTTGGAAACTAAATCCATTTGGAAATGACATCCTTTAAAATGAAACCAGAAAACAAAGGTGTTCAAGCGTGTGAACATCATCTTAGTCCAGTTTTGCTGCCCTCTTCCAAATTCTGTTGTTTCATTCGGATGTGGAGCGCGCCTGTGTGCGCTTATCCCAAATTGAAGCAACAACAGAAAATACGTTTTAGGGAAAGACTGGCCTTGTTCGAGCAAACAAAAGTTCCGGTTTTGGGCATTAAATTGGTTCGGTGTTTGAAGAAAATCCGCCGCGGATTTTGGGGAAATGAAATCCGTCACCGATTTTGGGGAAATCTGACACCGATTTTGAGGAAATCTGTCACCGATTTTGAGGAAATCTGTCCTGGAGTTTGGGGAAATCCGTCACCGATTTTGGGAAAATCTGTCACCAATTTTGAGGAAATCTGTCACCGACTTCGGGGAAATCTGTCACCGACTTCGGGGAAATCTGCCACCGACTTTGGGGAATTCGTCACCGACTTTGGGGAAATTCGTCACCGACTTTGGGAAAATCTGGCCCCGCTTTTGGGAAAATCAGCCACCGACTGAGGGAAACCGTCTCCGCGTTTGGGAAACAGAGGCTCTGTTTTGGATTGGCTTGGGACAAAGCTCAAGTCTCTTGCGTTTGGATTTTTTGGGACTGGGTGTTGCCCAAAGCGTCAACCGGTGGGAAGTTGGAAGGGTAAAATGCTCGGACCTATAAATTTTGACGTCAAAACTATTTTGGGGTATGTGTTAGGGACTTGTATGAGATGCCACAAACGCAAACTGATATACACAGTTCCTAGTGATGATAAAAATACTTAAACAAACAGTAAGATATACCTGAGAAAGGACAGGACGAAAGCCAATATGGTAGTGCAAGACTGGGATGACAAAATAGCGGAGCACTTATTGTTGAATGCCTGTAGCTTTCGTGGAGCTTGTATCAATGTGGAGTAGATCAAGATCGGAGCACAGCATGAAGTGTTGAATGTTTTAGGTTTTCTTGATTTTCCTGGCGCGGTGCTCTCTGGAGCGTCCCTGTCTGGCGGTCTACTTGAGAATCCGTGTAAAAATAAACGTCAGCGAAGACCAGGAGAAGGATGCCCGAAAGGTGGTTTTTGGTTGTTTCGGGCATTGTGCATCAATGCGAAGCCCTATAAAGAGCAGGGCTGGGAGAAAAAAACAAGGAGAGAGACCATTCTTGAATGGTTGTAGTTTTCGTGGAGCTGGTATCACTGCGACGTAGATGATCGGAGCACAGCATGAAGTGTTGAATGTTTTTAGCATTCTTGATTTGCTTGGTGCGGCGCCTTCTGGAGCGTCCCTTGTTGGTGTTCTATTTGAGAATCCGTGCAAAAATAAATGTCAGTGAACACCAGGAGAATGATGCCCGAAATGGTTTTTGTGGTTGTGTTGAAATGTGTTTCGGGTATCG